TATTACTAAAAAAAATAAATATATATATATATATATATATATACAAAAACTCTTTCGTCATCACCGTCCTCCTCCTCCTCCTCCTCCTCCTCCTCCTTCCCCTCCTCCTCAACCCCCCCCCCCCCCCTTTAAACCACCCAGCTACAAGACCGAGATCTCTACGTCAGACTCCATCACGTTCACCCATTTCATTCCTGATTTCCATTCCATTCCATTCAACCAGCTCTTTCTTTCGTTCGCTAATCTCTCCATTCATTCATCAATCCATCGATTCGTTAACCCATTCATTAATTAATCCATGCATCCACTCTTGCTTTACAATCTACATCCTCTCCTCTCCTCTCCACAAGCCTTTCAATTGCTTTTCGTCGCTATTCATTCGGGTATCTAACTAAAAACCTACTCCCTACCCCTCGTGAGGAATCCCGCGTCGTCCATTACCCGCAGCTGGCCAGTCAGTGTCTACCCAGTTTTTCGCTATACCTACAGAGCCAGCCAGCCCACTGCATCTTCTCCGCCTGGAGAAAAAGAAATCCTGATAAAAGCGCTCGGAAAACGCCCCATGCCAAGTCAAAGTTCTTGCCAGCGCGGAAGCTGGTGAAGCAGAATAAGCCAAATCAAGGCATCCCAAGCCAGTCATCCAGTCATCCAATTACCATCGTAAACACCCGTTGAAACTCAGAAGCCAGTTCGATTTTAACCCAGCCCGGCCCGGCCCCGCCCAAGCCGCAACCATCATTTCGTCGTATTGCATATCCCCCCTCCCCCCCTTTCATAATATCTCAGAATACCTAGAACAGTCGTGGATCAAAGTCTCGAGGAGAGTTGCGATTCTGCGGCCACTGTTGACCCTGCTGCCCCCATGACGCATTCTGCACCCCGGGCGGAGCAGGCCAACTGGCGTTTGCCCATTGCTCCGACGGGGGCTGGGGGTGCAGTTTCCTCCTCTCCTCTCTCAGTTCATCCCGATACGTCTCGCCCCGAGGCTTCGGAAAATACGGCTGCACCACATGTGACTGATAAATTTCAGGCGGGTCTGTAATTGCGATCCCGATGTCCTCGGCTGAGACCAGACTGGAACTGCGAGATATTCCCCCTGGGCGAGGAGGATGGTGGTAGGCACCGTTGTACACCGTCCCCCCAGAAGATACGTCCTGCCCATTGATGTCGTATCGTTGTCTCGCTGGGATGTATCCGGACCTGTGCTGGAATTTCTGAAACGGATTCGGTGAGCTGTGACTCACAGGGTGCGGTTGCGCATGTGCAATCAAGCCCTTGCCTTCGTCATCTTGTTTCTGCAACCCAAAACCCGACAGCCCAAACTTACTTCTTCGAAATTCCTCGGCGATGGGGAGATTCCTTTTCTCGGGGCGTTTTGGGCCGTTCGGGTCGGTGGAATCCAAGCTCACGGACTCATTTTGGGGGCTGTTGACGTCGAAGGCGCCGAATTTGTACGAAGGGTCGTTTTCACGTTCCTTGACACCGACAAAGAGCCAGCGCATTCCGCGGGCGAATGCTTTTACCAAGTCCCAGGGGTTCATGGCGTCTGCGAAGGCTTTAAGGCCCAGGAAGCCGCCTTGCTTTGGCCCGTGGGTGTTCTTGAGACGAGACATGGGGTAATCAGATCCAAAGGAGGACGAAGCGTAAGGTTTCCACGAGAAGGCGAAGAGGTGCAAGACGGCAAAAAGAGCCATCTCGATGCAAAGCAACAATGATGGAATCCCCACGCTCAGATCCGGATAGGCGATCTTAGAAGTCGGCTCCAGCACTTTTACGGTTGTCGACGTCAGGATACTGATCACAAACGACTGCCAGAATGACAAAAAAATAACTAGCTTGATAGCCAGCACCTTGAGGAAGGGACTGTGTGGCCCAAGATCGAGGCGAAGCTGGATATAGAACTGGATCAAACAGTACATGGCGATCGTCACCGCCACACTTTCAATAACAAGAATCTGCATCCATCAGCCATACACTCTCCGCAGCAGGGTCGCAAGACTACGTACCCAAATGTGCGCAAATACAGGCGAGTTTGACGACTCGCAGTACTTCTTAAAATGCTGCGTGATAACAGCCGTGACCGTCATGGAAACCCGAATAAAGCAGTAGTGGTAGACGCCCGTCCAGATGATGTTGAACCATGTCAACCCGCTCCGTGGTGTCCTCCACGGGCCCCTCTCCCCGCCGCAGCATTTATTGAGCCATGAGACAGGCCAGACCCAACCTTTCGGCTCGATGCTACGGAAATACATCTTCTGCTCGTGTAGGTTGGGGGCGATGTAATGGCACAGTAGGGCGAAGAAGGAGGCGATGGCAAAAGCTTCGTAGCAGTCGCATATAACCCGGAAGTAGACGGCGTGCCAGTAAAAGCGGAATGTGAGGACAGAGGCGATGGCGTAGACGGGGATCATGAACAGGATGCGAATGATGCTTGGGGGAAGGGAGTTAGCTGAGCTCTGAATTTCAGGGGGCGGGGATGGAGCATAGGGAGGAGGGTCTTACTGGCGCTGTTCGTAGGGCTTCGTGTAATGCGTCGCGTGCATGAAGATGAGGTAGAAGGAGATTAGGACGGCTATGAGGGTGCAAGCTGCTGCGACGATCAGGCCTAGGGAGTGGAAGCTCATGTTCGCAGCGAGGATCTCCTCTGACTTCCCAACTGCTTTCGTTAGCACTTATCCTCTCGCTCTAATCTGGTGCAGCGGGAGCCCTACTTCGCAAATCCTCGAGCGTGACATTGCAGGTTGTGTTGAAAGAAAGGCCCATCGTTGCGGTCGTTACGATCGCTGCTCATCTAGAGCGAGGGGGTGGTGGAGGGGGCACCACAGCGCGACGCAGTCAACGCGTGGGTTACGCTGTCTCCAATGTCTCGATTTTCCGCCAGATGAGCGTTGATTTCTTCTTCTGTCCCCGATCTAGGGATTTATCCAGCGTCACCCGTCCTGCTTTTCTCGTGGCCAGCGTCTTTCTTTCCAAGCAGAGTCACCGCGATACCGATACTGATACCGAGACTGAGACCGATCCCGATACCCCCTGCAGAACTTTCCAATTGCAATTGTCCCCCGTTGCGCGAAGCCTCCCGTCCGTAATAAAGAATGGTCGAGCTTCCCCCTTCGTCGTCAGTGTAAAGAAAGTAAGAAAGATCCTGTCTTGGGTCGCGTCGTCGCCTCGGTCGTGGCGCCTCGAGTCTCTTTCGCTTTTGATTTCTCGATACTCCGTGGTCGCAAGTGAGTGAATGAGTGAATCCCTGAGAGGGGGCAAGCAGTCCGTGATTGAATGAATTAAGGATCTGTTGATCAAACTGCGTGCCCGCCCCGCCTCGCCCCGCCCCGCCTCCCGCCTCGCCAAGATTCCAGGGAACTCCGCCTAGTGCCTCTCAAGCATTTGCTTGGCTCGTTTAAGTAGATTTCGATCAAAGTGCTACTGAAGAGCTTCAATTGAAGCAGCGACCGCCGATGATTATAGTCAATCTTGTCTCTTTTTGCCCTTTATCTTAGTCTTATTGTCATTGTTTTCTGTTTCCAAATGATTTGTCTTCTTTCATATCTCGTCACATGCCTCATATACCAACACAAGCTTGTAGATATCGAACTCCGTCAGATAATAGTGGGACTTGACGTCGCAACTTGGCCCCTAAAGTTGCGACGTCAAGTCCCACTAACATACCACGATACAGGCGTAAGTATTACCCCTCGAGGGTGCCTCAAAAGTTTGGTTCCCACTATAAACCCCCTGGTTGCCCTGCCCTCAAGGGGTAAAACTTCCGCCAGGGACGTAGTACCTATCCACCTGCCTTCTATCCAATACAAAGACTGTATGAAACCTCGGCCTCCGATCTACCCTACATACCGAGAACAGCTTCTCAGCCATCCTCACTCGCCTCCAACTGCCCTGCATCTAATGATACGGCGAAGGCCGCAGCGAGACCGAGGCGCCTTTTCAGCGTGCGGACATCCCTATCACTTGTGCCAGCCCGCCTATCTGTCTCACGGACTCTGTAAAAAGAAGATCGGACATGCCCATCCCTTCGCTTGCTACCTGCAAAAACCACCTAAATAAGATACGCCTCGCTTAACCTAGGAGAACAAACAAAGCCCCGAACTAGTCCCCTTCCTTCCTTTTTTTCCTTCATACTTGAACTGGTACTCCTACACCTAGTGAAGAGATGTCCACATCACTCAACAGTTCCCCTCGACCCACGCCTCAACCCTCTCCACCAAATCCGCCTTCTTCCCCGCCGAGCTCAGTCCCTTCGTATGCATGAAATCCTTGAGTTCTGGAATCGTGTATTTGCCCAGCCCTCCAGACCCGATAACCACCTTCAGCTGCGCGTTGCTCAAGCCATCTAGTCCAGTCTTCTCCGTTTTGATTCTCTTCCTGCCCGCTCCGTCTCCATCATCGTCACTGCCTCGCTTCAGTCGTGTGCCACCAACATCGCCGTAATGTGTTTTGGTATAGGCCGTGGCGTATTCAGCGAGGGCTAGCCCCCAATTTTGTATATACTCGCCGGCGCGCTTGTTAATTTGGCGGTATTTGGGGATAGTGGTGTCGTTCACGAGGGGCTCATCGTCTGGTGGGGCATCATCGTCGAGAGCAATGATTTGGAGCCATTTGTAGAATGTCTGTAGCTGCGGATTCGAGTATTTGGTAGGATCGTAGATAGCTTTGGGAAGTTGGAGTTGCTTTACTACCTTTCTCATTTCATCTACGAGATTGTCCGGGGCGTCGAAAGGTTTGGCTTTGGTTGGATTCTCGCGGATGTCGTCCGCAAAAGGCAGGGGATATAGCCAGAGACCTTGGGGGACGACTTGGGCGCCTGTCGTTTCGTCAATTCGCTCTGCAGAAGGAAGAATAGCAACGATCAGAGGTTTAGCATTCTTTCGTGCAATGAACCATGCAAGCCCCATAATCTTATCTTTGAGAAGCTTCTGCCATAGAGCAGCGAACGTTCGAGTGGATCCAGTGTAGCCGTCTTCACTGGGGTAGATAAATGTAGCCTTTTGCACAGATGCCCAGATCGGAAGCATCGACTGGGGCTTGAAGCCAATGATACGCAATACCGGCGATTCGAAGAACTTGATTTTGAGTTGCTCCTCGGCAGTGAAAAGTACTTGAGTTCCACCAAACCTGTAAGCTTTTTTGATCTCGGACGATTCGATTCTGCGGCTCGTGTCTGCATTAACCTGTTCTGATACCCCCACCGCCATTTGAAGCTCCTCGCCCTTCTCGTAGATGTAACAGGAGCGAGCAGGCTTTTGCTTTTGAAGTAAGTTGTATCCTTTGACTGAGATGGTCAAACCAGGGCCTATTTCAAATGGCAAGCCAGAAAATAGCGCCCGCTTCGCTACTTGCTTGGAGTTGATGTCAGATATAAGGCTCATGAGCAGAGAGATGCCTCCACCCGAGGACTTCAACTTGGTCTGCGCTAAGGGAAGATCTCCGCCATCGGCAGGGTCGCGATAAATGATATCCTAAAGATGTTAGATATTGCTGTTTCGAAGGTTGAGCCAACATACATCGTAGAACTTGGATCGGTCAAATTCATGATCCGGGTGAGAAATAGGAAAGAGTTCAATTGTAACACCGAGATCGTACAGATCCTTGGCTCTCACAGTCGCTTGGGATCTCGCAAGTTTGTCTGTAGCATGTGGTTCGTCTTGATCCGTGATGATGAACAGGCGCCGAGAACCAAAGTTGGGAGCCTTGGTGGTGAAGATTTGGTTTGCGCAGAAAAGCATATTCGCCATGGATACCGGCTCCTCAGATGGGGCGAGGATACCGGCAGCATTATCGGTGCCGTCAGAGATTGCTCTCAGCTGCTTGACATCTTCCGCGGAAGGGATGCCGAGGTCGCTTAGCAAGTAGCAATGGGGATATGTGATGTTGCCCCGGCTGTGTGAATTGTCTTCTTGAAATTTGGATTTTTTCGTACCAAATAACAGGACTCCCATCATATCCTTGGGACTGGAGATAATACGCTGTGTCATAATTTGGTATGCGCATTTGATGGCTGCCAGTGCCGGGCTGTCTTTTTCGGCCTTCTTATCATCCGATTCTGGAGGGATCGCAAGCATCGATGAGCTGACTTCAATCGCGAAGAGAATGGCATCGTTTGAAGTGGTATAGTTCTGTTGCCGTTAGCAAGGTATTTATTGACGATGAGCGAGCGCGTACCTACATTCTCATCGAGCTCCTCCTCTTCCTCCTCCTCATCTTGCGTTTGCCATGATGGTCTAGAGTCTCCCATAGTAGGGAATTCGTTACATATGTAGATTGTTTGGTTGAGATGGTATCGTCGGAGTGTGGACTCTGGACTTGAATGCGATCAGTCCTGTCGCAAGCATGCAGGCAGCCACGCGTCGGGATATCAAACACGGTCACCAATCCACGTGACTGCCCGGACATGACCCTCAAATCAAAGGAATTTGATTGGTCGTTCATAGCATCGGACATTCAAATCCCCGTTACAACTACTAATCCCTGTACATCTAGCTACACAGTACAGAGAACTTTCTTCTCGAGGCCCTGGGACAACAAATCATAACACCTCTCTTGAACCGAACCAGCTGTACAAAGATCATGGCTTTCCGAAACCCCATGACCCAGCTCACCAAAAGAGCAACCCAATCGAGCATCTCTAAGTTCACGAGCAATTCGACATCTCCAATATGGCAACGAGGAGGCGCGAATCAAGTCCGCTCACTTGCGACGATGGCGCCACCTGTTACCCAAGATGGAACTAGTTCCAAAGGCCCGACGGCAATAGTGTTCATGAACATGGGAGGACCGCAGACAACGGATGAAGTTGGCGATTTCTTGAGCAGGCTCTTTGTACGCCCCCTGCCCGCAACGCTCGAGTTCTCCCCCGACTGACCCTCTCCTAGGCGGATGCAGACTTGATTCCACTCGGGCGATTTCAAAGCTACCTTGGCCCTCTCATCTCCAAGCGAAGAACCCCCAAGATCCAAAAGCAATATGCGGCAATCGGTGGTGGCTCCCCAATTCGCAAGTGGTCGGAGTACCAAGCGGCGGAGATGTGCAAGATACTGGACAAGATGTCGCCGGAGACTGCCCCACACAAACCATACGTTGCTTTTCGCTATGCCAATCCGTTAACTGAGGAGATGTATAATAAATTATTGGCGGATGGATTTGGGAATGGAAAGGGAGGGAGGGCCGTGGCCTTCACCCAATATCCGCAGTACAGTTGCTCAACGACCGGAAGCAGCTTGAATGAGCTGTGGAAAATCAGGCAAAAGCTGGAGGGGAAGTCTGCGAACTTCAGTAATGACGGATCCATAAATTGGAGTGTCATTGATAGGTGGCCGGCCCACCCAGGGCTTGTTGATGCTATTGCGCTCAATGTCGAGGAATCGCTGGCTTCTTACCCGGAGGACCAAAGAGACAGCGTCGTGCTTCTCTTCTCCGCCCACAGCTTGCCCATGGATGTTGTGAACCGAGGTATGCTGTGTCCATGCAGAGAAATGATCATTGCTGACCCCCATAGGTGACCCGTATCCTGCCGAGGTCGCTGCCACAGTTCACGCTGTCATGCAGAGACTCGGCCACTCGAACCCATACCGCCTGGTCTGGCAATCTCAGGTCGGCCCCAAAGCTTGGTTGGGGGCCCAGACCAGCGATACGGTAGAGAACTATATCAAGAAGGGGCAAAAGAACATGATTCTTATCCCCGTTGCATTCACATCCGACCACATCGAGACGCTCTACGAGCTCGATGAAGAAGTTATTGGCGAGTCAGGTCACCAGGATACGATCAAGCGATGTGAGAGTTTGAACGGCTCACCGGTATTCATTCAAGCTTTAGCAGATATCGCGAAGAAGCATCTGGACAGCGGGGAGATCTGCAGTAAGCAGATGGGCCTGAGATGCCCCGCATGTACGAATGCCAAGTGCGGCGCAAGCAAAGAATTCTTTGCTGGACCAGGGCAAGGAAGGACGAGATTCGCTACGGCTACATAGATAAGGATACCCTGGTGTAGTAGGCAGCCTAGTGACTATATTTCAAGGGAGAAGCTGTATAGGGTATATGATTAAGGGCCAAGTGAAGTGAAGTCAGTCAGTGTATACATACGTAGTACAACCTCGAGCCGAATATATATATATATTCTCGCTGGCTCGCTCATGGCCGAGCATGGGTGCAGCTACAGTACAGTACTGTACAAATGAGCTACCGGTACCTAGCTACTGTTGCATTATGTCACTGCATAGGCCGACCCTTGGACCCTGACGACCGTCGATCGTCATTGGCGGGTCAAGAGAGCTTATCTTTTGCATTTGTACTCTGCATAGGACTGCACAGGACTGCACAGGAACCCTCCAAAGCTTACTTCCTGAGCCTCCAGACCGAAAGTAAACAAAGGCTGGTGACGTCGAGCCGATTACCAAGCTCAGGCTACAATAGAGATCTATTCCCCCAACTACCGGTAGTACTTACTTACGTACCAATAGAAGCAACTTCCCCAGTCATCATCCATGTCTTGATCTCGGACCGGACCAGATCCCACCCCACCCCACCCCACCCCCATCCAAGCTCGGACACGCTCCTCCTGCCCAGTGCAGCCAGCGCTCAGATGCTGCAACTACCCCTACAATCAAGTAAGCAAGCATTCAAGATGAACCAACACCGTCCGTCGTCTTTCCCACTCCAACTCCAAGCTTTCTCTGTCCTACGATCTTGATCTTGATCTTGATCCTGATCCTATCTTTCATCTCTGCTGGAGAAATACGCAAACAAACGATTGACATCGACGCCAGAGAGAACGCTGTGCTGCCAACGATTCTGGCTGCTGCATTCCCCGAGGATTGGAGTCATAACTACGATCTGTCAATCAACACCAACACCAACATCACATCAACAATACATACACGCGATAAGCTTACCCGCACCACACACCCTCCTCCCGCTACCACCGGCCAAGCATGGCCATCGGAAACGACAACAAAGGCGTGGCGGGAGAAGCTGGCGACGAGCATGGCTCGCAACACCTCTGGGGAGCGAAGAACTCGCTGCGCCGGGTGGCAGGACTGGGGAAGCCGCAAGCAGGCGACGAAGGTACGCCACTGCTGGCGGGCGGGAGCAGCCCCTCGAGCGATGGGCCTGAAGCGGGAAAAGGGGAAGCCGAGTGGGAGGGACAGGCAGACTACGATGGCTTAACGTGGTGGCATAGGCCATCTGTGAGTTACATACCATACATCCCTACCTCCAAGCTCGGGCGTCGAGTGCAGTGGCGCTGATGGGATGGAAAATGTAGATGTACTGGCTATTGCCACCCTTCTTCCTCTTTGCGCTGGCGGCCGGGGGGATTATCGTGCCCAAGCTCAACCTGATCCTGCAACTCGTGTGTCGGGAATACTTCATGGAGAAGTCGTCTGCGAATCCGCAGATGGTCTTGAAGCCTGTCTTACTGGGCTCGGATAATCCGCAATGTCGAATCCCAGAGGTGCAAGCGCTAGCTACGAAGTTCTCGCTCTACATGACGACTATTACCGGGGCCTTAAGCGCAGTTGTGTCTCCCAAACTGGGTGCTTGGTCGGATCGATATGGACGTCTGAAGTTTCTTACAATCACCAGCGCAGGAGCTTTTATCGGAGAGATCCTCGTCATTCTGGCAGGGACCTATCCGGATACCTTCAGCTATCATTGGATCCTTCTTGGCTCTGTTTTCGATGGAATTTGCGGCTCTTTCAACGCTGGCATGGCGCTTACCCACGCCTACGCATCGGACTGTACGGCCCCTCCGAAACGAGCGGTGGCTTTTGGCTATTTCCATGCTTGTCTGTTCGCTGGAATAGCAAGTGGACCCTTGATTGCCGCTCTCATGGTTAAAAAGACTGGCTCGATCATTACTCCCTTCTACTTTGCGCTTGCAATCCATGCAGCTTTCATCGCCTTCATCTTACTCGTGGTCCCCGAGTCCCTGACCAAGAAACGTCAGAACCTCGCTCGAGAACGACACGCCACAGAATCCAGCCCGGTCATGACCTCGGACGTCTATGACTCCAGTGCATACAGCAACGGCCGGTCCTCCATCTCCGCCCTCGGCCGAAAACTAAACATCCTCGAACCCCTCAAAATCCTCTGGCCAACAGGCGCCGGCACCTCAGGCAAACTCCGCGCCAACCTGATCCTTCTCTCCATCGTCGACACCATCGTCTTCGGCGTCGCCTTGGGCGCCCTGACGGTCGTCGTCTACTACCTCGGATTCCAGTTCGCCTGGGACACTCCCGAGATCGCAGCCTTCTCCTCCCTCGTAAACATCTGCCGCGTCTCCGCGCTGCTTATCATCCTCCCCTTGCTCAACTACCTCGTGCGCACCCGTCGCGCAAACCGCGAAAGACGAGAATCGGGCGTCGCTGTAGCTCAGCCCAACACGGGCTCTGATAAGCTGGATCTAGTGATCATACGAGCGGCTATTGTGGCGGAGATTGTCGGGTATGCGATGTATGCTACAGTGCGCACACCTGGGATCTTTGTACTTGCTGGTGTTATCGCCTCGCTAGGAGGAATCGGCAGCCCTACCTTACAGTCCGCACTCACAAAACACGTGCCGCATGACAGAGTAGGACAACTACTCGGCGCGACAGGCCTGCTGCACGCGCTGGCGAGGGTCATTTGCCCTCTGATTTTTAACCTGATATACGCCAATACGGTGGGCACTTTCCCGCAGGCGGTATTTGTGGTATTGACGGGATCTTTCGTGGTGGCCGCGGTGTGCGCTTGGTTTATCAGGCCGAACAGTAAGCCATTTCTCACTCCCCCCTTGTTGATCTAAACATAATTAACCCCCATCTAGTCTACCTCGAAGACCCTAGTGAACACAATATAGCGCAAAGGTCATCGACTGACCCTGACGTTCTCGTCGACGAAGAGATCACCGGTATCTAATCCGCCTTAAATCATCTTTTTCCTTTGTTCTTACGCACGCAATTCGAATTCAAATTCCCTCTCAGTTTTTTAGTCCTTTCCGCGGGTGCCCAAATTTCCTACATGTCGGGTTCATGCGGTACCGTACAGCTACTTTAGGGGCGTCATGTCGTCTGAGTCACGAGAGCCGGTTGGTATACAGATACACAGGTTACAGAGAGGGTTGTTATTGTAAGGGATTTAGATTTTAAGATTGTCGTCCAGCGCGATTGATGTAACGTAACCTGTATACGGATAGCGATGTACTTATGTACGAGCTTTTTTCTATGTCAACAACAGTCAACAGTCAACAGTCAACAATATCACTACCATAAGCAAACGGTCCTGCAACGACTCGGTTCTTTCGATTAAGCTTTCAATTCCTAGTCTCGTTGCCAGCTGTCTCGTTTTCTCTTCCTCCAGACCAAGCTGGACAGGTGAACGTTTCACATTATCACACGACTACAGACTACATGATTCCTATCCGCATGATCAGATCAGATCAGATACTGTAGCTTCCGTTCTTGATAGCGATGAAAGGAAAAGGCCCCCTTCCCTCTCTCTCTCTCTCCACCTCTCTCTCTCCATCTCTCTGCTCGTTCCTACCAGTCTGGCGCAGAAGGTCCACCGACGAGGTAAAAAAGGGGGCCGGCCATTCCGTCGATTGGATGAAGCGTCTGTGTGTGTGTGTGATTCATTCATTCTTGCCTGGGAGAGTGGCGATGTTAGAAGAGAGAGAGATATCGTTGTATACCTACCCACCCACCTACCCTAGGCTTGGTGCGCCGGTGCGTTGATGCGTCGGAATTTGGCTTTGATATGATATGATTTGGCTCGGGGAGAGCCTGAAGCGTGTGTTCTTGGATTGGGGATGTTTTGCTTGATGGTTGGGTTGGTTGGGTTAGTTGGCTAGGTAGGGTAGGTAGGTTAGGTAGGTTAGGTTAGGTTAGGTAGGTTAGGTTAGATAGGTTAGATAGGTATCCGAGATCCTGAAATCTCTCTCTCTCCTCTCTACTCCGTAAAGCATGAAATGGAAAGACGAGACGGCCCGTCGCCTGTTCTGTGACGTGAGTGCTGGGAGTTATGTATGGTGTGATAATATTACTACGCAGTTTTGAGTCTCCTGTGCGTGCGTGTGTGTGTGTGTGGGTGTGTGTGTGTATGTTGTGTTAACGGAGAGAGGAAGAGGAAAGAGAAAGCGGGCAAGGCAAGGTAAGGCAAGTCAGGTCCTGAATCTTGCTGGGCTGGGGTACGATTGGCGAGAGAGGAGTGCCAGTTATTGTTTTTTTTTTCTTTTTTTTTCTTTTTTTCGATTGTATCGCGTCTGGGTGTAGGTGGAGGGAAATACACTGTGATATCATATCACACTTCTCTCTCTCCTCCCTCTCCCCTCTCCTTCCCTTCCCTCACCTCCCCTCCCCCTTTTCGATACAGCGACAATGTGGATTGATGGATGGATGGATGGATGGATGGATGGATAGAGCCTTCGGGCTCGGCCTCAGCTGAAAGCTAAAAGCTATCTATCTATCACGCACCTTAGAAATCCAAACCCAAATCTCGATATTGTCACTTCAATATTAAGATCTGGATTTGGAATGTCGTATTGTGCAGACTGATGATACGATTTCCACAGGGCGCCACTGTTGATAGATATCGACATTTGGGTTCGTGGGGATGCTGTCTTTTGAGGAGAGGAAGAGCGATAAAGGTGCGTGCGAACCGAAAAAAAGAGTGATTGCTCTGGTTGGATCTTGTGGATATGGCATACGTATATATATATATATATATATACATATGGTGACTTAGATATATAGTGACTGATGTATGAGTGCAATTTCCGTGAAACTACCTGCACACATGGCGCAATCGCCATCCATGGAAGGAGGATTATTTCTAGTCCAGTGGACTGCACGCATATTTCGAAAGGGCGGATAAGTCCTCATTCGAGGAAAACGCTTTATCCTCCGCCGAGGTAGCTGCGCCGCCGCATCTCAGCCTCGCGGATGATCTCGGCTCCGAGACTCAGGCTAGGTGCAAGATGTGCATATCGCTCGATCTCCAGAACGACGTTGTTGATGATCGCGTCGACGGTGTTCATTTTGGGGACCAGGGTGGCGACGATGCTGGATAGTGATGGCGACATGGTGGCGCCCATCAGGAGCAGGGTTTGGGAGACGATGGAGAGCGCCCCTTGCCAGAGATACGATATGTGACCGGCATGACTGGCTCTCGCGTTAGCAGTTACTTCTGCAGAGAAGGGCGTGCGGTCGCCTTACTGAGCCGTGATGTGCTCCAATTGTCTGATGGAAACCTCGAGACACTTTCGGCAGTTCTCGCGAACCGAAGCATCCATCGCTGACTGCTCATTGTCGAGGACCGCAAAGATGTAAGGTCGGAAAATGATAGTCCGGCAGGCGAAGTATCGCAGACGCAGCACCGTCTGGACCGGGTCTGCAAGCGGGGTCCGACCATAAGGAAACTGTAACGCAACCGGTAGGCTTTCGTACCATTGCGCTAGCTGGAAGTCCAATTCTGCCACCACGGGCTCGAGACTCTGCATCGATGCCATTGAGTCTTTGGAGTAGATGAGCTGACTGACTCGATTTAGAAGGCGCCGGAGCGCAATTTCAGCCAGGAAGTACCATAAATCGTCACGGCCAACACTCTCTTCCATCTCTGGTTCGAACCCGCCGGGCAGACCAACGAGCTCTTCGTATTGGACGATTCCCGAGTGTGGGAGGTCCATCTCAGCGAGAAGGTCGCTCTCGAACAGAAGGGCGTTCCAGTAGACTCGCTCGCTTAGTTCCCGCTGACCTATCGGGATTCTCCCGGGTGCGCTGAGAAGGAGCTGAAGCTTGGTGCTGGTACTGCTCAACAGTGTCCAGGCTTCAAGGGGACGGACCAAATAGAAGAGGTACGCTGAGGCCAGAAGTGTGCACTGGGCAGAGAGAACCGAGTTTCTCGTAATCAAGCCAGGCAGCAGAGCCCAAGCAGCTGCGAAATATGGTAGTCCTGGTGGATCTTCGCTTGGCGGAACTCTGGAAATGCTTGTACCGCAGCTCGCCTGGCCGAGAGCTAGTACTAGAAGCACGATGCAGCTCTCGGGGCCCTCACGGAACCCATTGGACAGTGCAGTGCGATAGTGGTTTTTCCAGTTGAAGGGATTGACGCATGCATACCATACGTTGACTTTGGAGAAAAATGACTCGGTGTAGGCTGAGGTATTGGACAGGTCTAGGCATGGTGTCTTCGATAGAGCGAGGGGTTCTCGAGCCATCTCGAGTTGGAGGAGAATTTGAGGATCATAGGGCCGCGATACCAGATCACGAATCAAAGGCCATTGAAGGAGATGGAGTGCAGCATTTGTATGGATCTTTGGCATCGTTGAGATATTTGTTGGGGTAGTCCATGTTCTCAGACCTGTGGCGGGGATCATGGAGACGAAGTCGCTGGTGCTTTGCATCATTATGTCCTCATGGCTGATAGTAGTAGCCCCAGTTATCGATGGCGAACCCGCTGATATTGCCATACTAGAGGCCCGCCCGACTAGACTATTCTGCAGCAAGCCCTCGATCCGGGTGAGACGCTCTAGGATGAGCTTGTCGCCCGCATCCAGTTTGATCCCAGGCTCCCGATAGATGCACTCTGCTCCGAGATCGGTGCACAGCTTGCATTTTGGCTTTGATCCATCACATCTGGATTTTCGGGAACGACATATCTCGCACTGTCACGCCTGTCAGAATCGCGAAGATTTCTGAGTTCAACAAGCTTACAGCTATGGTGGCTCTGCGCCTGGGATAGTCAATACCAGCATCGGTGATCCTTCTCTTCAACGGATTGATGCCGTCGTCGCTGTTTGGTCTGTGTTGCGCACCGTTTATCCCGGGTTCCCTGTCACCGGAGGACTGTGAGAGATTCCTCACTTTCTGGCCTGATCCCAGGATTCCGTCGCGAGCCAAGATTTGCATGCGGCGAGAATTGGGAGATTTTAGCGGATTTGGAGAGTGTAGAGCTCCATTTTCAGTCGTGTTGCCGTTACTATTCGTGAGCAGGGCTAGACGCGGAGAAGGGATGTCAATCTTGAGCTTGTCTCTAGAGATGGAAAAAGTCCTGCTGCGTCCAGTTGCAGATGCTGGGGACGGCTCTGGTGAAGTGCTCGACATTGCGTCTCGTGAAGAATTCGGCACTCGGGGGTGGGTCATCGAAGTGAAGCTTCGACCGATTAAACCTTGGAGCTGGAATCGGGGAATGATCTCATGGGAGCATAATGATGCTCTGCCGAAGAATATAATCGGGGTACCGTTCATACGAGCTTCATATCTATCTCCGAAAGAGACTGGGTACCGGCCGCATGCACGCAGGCTGACATAGGCCGATTTGCTGTAGGGTATATTGTCCAGATCATTGACGGGGCAAGCAATTCGCCGACGACCAAATAAGTTCATGTGCCCGAAGTTCCCAAGCCTGGCACCATACGCAAGAGTCCGAGAAACCCCATGCAGATTTTATAAGTTGTAAACTCTGGAAATCGGTCGACGGTATCTGACGGCTGGCCGTGTGCTGGGCATCTGTAACAGGGTGAGATCGCTGGGATCGATAATTGAAAATGCAGCAGGAGGTGATGGGAAAGTCAGACAGACTCAGGCTGTACCTGCACTCCCCTGCCATCAGGTATGATGGCATCCATCCGCATCCATCTAATATACTCAGGGGCTGGGCGTATAAAATAATAACACTCATAAGCGAGTTTTTCCACCACTATTGATGCAACCGCGGCAGCGCCTAAGATCAAATCTCAAGATCAAATATCATATTGGCGGCTTCAAAAACCCCCCAGCTGTTGCTCTCTTTGGAAGATTTTGACATGAAGTTGAACTTCTACGCTTTCTTCGAATCTCCGTCGTGCTTGGGGAGGTACTGGCGGCAGCCCCGAGCTCCAGTTGGAGGACTCGCGGACTCGCGGACTCCTGACCTCCGTACCGTACCATCTTCATCTTGTAGGTAACACAGGTCGTTCCAAATCGAGAATGAAATACCAGATGATTTGCTGGGAGGAGTGTGAGAGGTCGAGATCCCAGCCATTTCATTATGTGGGTGTACCCGACGTGCATCGGCGTCTATGGCCGGTGCTGGCCGATATGAGCAATGGCCAGGTGGTTCATCCAGATCCATCACGGAAGAATTTGTACTCGAGTATACTTGGCATTTGAGAAATTTTCATCTGATGTGATGTGGGATGATCAAGTAGTAGAGGCAATGACTTCTCGGTTGTTTTTGGGGCGAAATCACGTGTACCTTGCTTGCCATGACCCGTGACGCTGCTTTCTTCCGCTGCTTCAATCAAGCTTCATCCTACGCCTCCGTCCAGAATTCCGTCTTTGCGCCTGACCAGTACTTCTTCGAGTTCGACCGTACCTATCAAATAGCCTGGTCCCCCAACGGCGGTGTCTGCGATGCCCCAAAGTCTCCTCCCCCCCCCCCCCCCATCCATTCGGCGACCCCGATGCCGAGTATTTCAAATGCCAGTCCGAGGATGATATATACCATACTCGAGGGAATGCGCTCTACTATCAAAAGCGTTTAGAAATCTTTGAAAGTCGGCAAAATCGAAAAACTGGCTATGTCTAGGTCTATAGCTAGTCTCCGACGATGCCCTGGGCCTCTCTTCGAAATGTCATTCGGATCTTTGAAATATTGGACAGCGTACAATCATTCACGAGCATGGATGGGGAACCAATTTTGTATCGCTGAGATTCTCAAACCAGCACCCTCTCGTCTAATTTCGCAAACGCTCCTTGTAAGCAGATCCAGCTCTCGGCGCTTTCACTTGATGGAAAATTCCGGCGATCTTTCACGTCAAGGTAAGCACTTGTCAGAGACAGTATTGAACAAAAGCTCTTGCTAACTGGGCTCGGTTTAAAAAAAAATTTGGTCCAGAATAAATAAGCGGTCTCGGAGAGTAGAATCAAGGGCCGCTAGGATTCATCGCTTCGAGCGCCACCTCCTGATCAACGAAGTCTAGTCAGGAACCAGACACTGCAGATCTAGGCGCCTCTTAAAAAACGCCCTCTTCTTTCTTTGGACGTCGGTCAAAGTCTCGTGGTCTTCAACCCCCTACTCACCCACCCGCTACCAAAAGAATTAGCCTACAACTTCAAGAATACAACAAGGAAGAAATGGGGAGTGACAATCATGCCGGCCTCTCACTGACACAGTGAGTCCAAAAATCGATGGCGAAATTCCCATTGGCAACTACGGAGTCGTAGAAGCATTGAGCTCACCGAGTACAGCAGTGGAGCTCTTCAATCAAATCGGGGTACTCTTCCGGTAATGAAATTGTCTACTATCCAATTTTCCCTGTGATGGAGTGAAGGCACTCCGACCTTACGTCCAAGAAGAGAAATCGATGGTCATCTGGCAGCGGAGCAAGAATTTTGAATAGCGGGTCTCGAAAAATAGGCGCAAGTCATAGACCATGATTCGTGTACACGGGCACTGGGCTTTTGGAACACCACTCTTTGGCTGACAGACTTGGGGTAGAAAGGGTTCAGATTCCAGGAAATGGTAGCATTGCGGCGGTCTTGCAATAGTCAGGGCGGAGACTACTGTGCCGCTCCCTGGCGTTGCTGGCGCTTTGATGGCTCCTTACCGAGCCCTATCGTCAACCTTCATTCTTTCTAAGCCCCATCTTCAGCCGTCTTAGGCGTCGTGAGCAACAACGTTCTAATTTGAATTAGAAGTATTAAGAGATGTGTTTTCCTCCTTCGTCTCTTTCCTTTCTTTCCCTCTCCACCGACATCGATTCTCTTCACTTCTCCTCTTCATAATCCAACGGCGACCTCTGCCGTGCGAACTTCTGTTTGCGTCCTTTCGTTAAGAATTCAATCGCTACAATCTTTACAGGCACAGTCTATACCACGATCTTTTCCAGTTATTTGTCGCCATTTATAGCATGATGTTTTCAATCACACTTTTTGCTGCTGTGGGCACGGCTATCTCTATGATTTCTTTGGTTATTGCCACTTACGATCTCAACTCGAAAGCCAACCTCGCTCTCTACTATGTATGACATTACACTCAGCTGGCTTGAAATATGCTGATCTGATATAGGGGCAAGGTCCGAATCAAAAACCCTTAGCGCACTTTTGCAACTCTTCAAGCGTCGATATTATCCCAATTGGTTTCGTCAACATCTTTCCATCTCTGGCGAATGGACTGGTGGCCGAGAATTTCGGAAACCAGTGCTGGAATGGTAACTATACCGGGCCTGGGTACAATGGTGTCAACAACCCGGCAAACAACTTTCTGTACAGGCAATGCCCACAGCTTCAAGAGGATATTTACTACTGCCAAACGCAAACGAAGAAGAAAATTCTTCTGTCTCTTGGTGGTGAAGGGGGCAACTACCAGTTGAATGGGAAGGCGGACGGAGAATACCTGGCTGATTTTCTGTGGGGTGCATACGGCCCATATAATGCGAGCTGGGTGGCTGCCGGAGGTGTCCGTCCACGTAAGTGCTGTTCAGTATCTCTCGTCATTTTCTAATTCATCTTGAACATTGAAATCGCCAATCTGTACTTATTCTGTTATCTAGTGGACCGAGGATACAACAACGCTGATCCGTCGAAGACGATTGATATTGATGGATTCGATTTTGATATCGAGCGACAATCAACTGACTCGCAAGTCGGTTACATCGCTGCGATCAACAGACTCCGTGTTCGCTTTGCCCAATATAAGCAGCTCAACTCTTGCTCCAAGACCTACCTGATCTCTGGAGCACCACAATGTCCTCTCCCAGAGCAAAATATGGGACTAACGATCACCAACGCCAAGTTCGATATACTTTTCATTCAATTTTACAACAACGGGGCAAATGGATGTACTGCTCGCAACTACTCCAGCAGCACCAACAAGGCAACGAGTGGGTTTAACTACAACAAATGGGTCACCTTTGTCAACAGCGGCGCCAGTGCGGGCGCAAAACTCTATATCGGTCTCCTTGGATCCAACTATGCTGGAACTGCAAGTGACTACATCTTAGCTTCCGAGGCAAAGCCTCTCATTGCCGCTTATCATGGAGCTACGCAATTTGGAGGTGTGATGCTCTGGGAGGCTACCTACGCCGAGAACAATAATGCCGTTACCGGATATCCAGGAATGAACTATTACCAGATCATCAAGAGCTTCCTGGCTCCTTATGCGCCAACGGTCACCTCCACCACAGCCATCTGCGCCACGACAACGTCGCGATCCGTACCAACCTCCAAAAGCTCGACCACCAGTTCGAGACTCACCACGACGAAGATTACGACAGCCTCATCGACCTCATCATCCACCAAGCCGCCGACTTCTTCATGCACGGGGCTAGCTTTAGCAACCCCAAAGCCGTCAACCGCCCTCTGTGGCATCAAAGCCAATTTCATTGCCAAGGCAGGATCTGGTGCGCTAACCTCCTACTCGACCGGCCCGTACGTCGCCAGCTACCAAGCCTGCGCCGCGCAATGCATCGCGACCTCGACCTGCACCAACGTCTACTTCGTCCAAGGCAGCACCTGCAACCTGAAGTACGGCCCCGTCTCGTACGTCGTCAACACTAGCGGCGTCAACGCCTACAGCCTCTACACCACCGACTGCTTCCAGTGCGCGACCTGCCCCAACGCGGCTCTCGCCTCGCCCGCACCAGCCGGATCCATCTGCAACGTCCCGGGAAACAGCATCCCCGCGGCCGGAACGGGCACCCTGGTCGCGTACGGCGCGGGCAGCCCCTACGCAGCTACTCTGCGGGCATGTGGCTCCGTCTGTTTCGCAACGGCGGGCTGTACTAACGTTTACTTCGTCGCGGGGAGTCACTGCAATCTGCATTACGGGCCGACGACTTATACGCGTAATACTAGCGGCGTTAATGTGTTTTATATCTACGACGCTTCCTGCTTCACTTGTGTCTACTAGGGTGGTTGGCGTCGAGGAAAACTTATGGGCTGGTTGATAGTGCGTCGTATATACGTCAGGTTTTGGTAATTCTGGCCGAGTAAGACTTTGATCGTCGAGGCTATCATTTCGATAATGGAAGAGAAGAGAAAGTCGTCAAAAAATACAATTTCACGAAATCTGAACCGCTGATATCTAATTGTCTCTTTGCTCCCCTCGTGCAGAGTGACTTTTCTCTTGCTTGGCATCATAGCAATAAAGTGATTTCTCTGGACTATCTTCTTGATCATAAAGGGTTCTACTTGTAGGTGAAGGCTTTGTTGACTTATATTTCTTTGATATTCTCATATATCTAAGCTGCTTCCAACATTTCCTCTCTTGTTCCCCTTATCTACGCCGTTGCTTCCGCTTTCATATTCTCTGATCTTTTTCTATGGTCGTTAATAATTTTAGGTGTTGAGATCTGTAGGTGTCGTCGATCTATTAGAGGTTCGTTTATTATTAATTTTTTCATTAGGCAATTGATACGTAGTCAGCTTATTCTCGGAATATTGTTTATAATGTTCGACCGATACGTGGATCTGATAGTGAAATAAAGGTAGATGTATAGATATTTTCCTAAATGTTTGAATAGTGCCGGAACTCAAAGGTATGCTATGTGGCGCGTGAAGCTGGACGTAGTATAGCGGGTCCTCGTACGTGAATCAAGGGCGACTATCCTTCCTCCTATCTATTTTGAACATGTGGAACTAACCGGTTCTTGGACATCCTCAATATGCGTTCCTACTCCTTCACTGGACTACAATATCCCCTAGAGATTAGCCTCCTAGTCCTCGCAACCAAAAACGGCTCTGAGCAGGTTCACTTGCCGATTAGAGCACGTTCTTTTGACCGTTTTCCCTGTCTTTGAAGCCATATCATACGTCTGGGGCGATCCGTTAAAATCGCAAGAGATCACACTTGACGGCAAGATTCTCCCAATCACCCAGAGTCTCTTCACTGCTCTACAGCATCTCCGTCATGGTGAAAGGGAAAGATATCTCTGGGCCGATGCAATTTGTATCAACCAGGGCGTCGACGAGGAAAAGAGTGAACAGCATTCTTTGATGGGAAAGATATATTCTCAGGCAGAGCGATTTCTGATCTGGATCGGAGAAGATGGCGACGAAAATGCAGAGACGGCGTTCAGCTACTTCTCGCGGATACATGCACTTCTGAGTCCGCGTCAGAATCGAGACCAGCTTCGGCAGCGCATGCGAGGCATATCGTATCCGTGACTGCGACTTTGACCCTTGGATGGTCTCGTTCTTGGAAGCAATCGCGCCACTCTTCTCCAAGGCGTGCTTCAGCCGCTTGTGAGCGGTACAAGAGGCTGCCCTTGTGCAGGGGCGATAAATGCCCCTTACCAGCTTGCGATTTCTGAGTCTGGATATCCCATTTGACTTTGATTACTCGTGAAAGAGAGGAGGAAAAAGGGCGGAGAAAGTATCTCCCTAAGCTCAGCGACGACGAGAAATACGGGAGATGGGATTGATGGTTGAATCTGTGTTTGCTCTCGCTCGTGATGCTGACTCCTTCTTGCGTCCTTGGGGCTGAATGGGCTTTCTCGGCAATTTAAAGGGGTGTAAGCGAGCGGAAGCGAGTAAATATAAATACGACGAAAGGCTCACGGCCGACCCTTGGCAACGATATCGTGCTGACCTATAAATCTGCCCAACAGCGATTAGATGGAAGCATATAGATTCAAGACATTCTCAAAAAGGTGATCAGTCATCTTACTTCGGACAAGAGGTCTGGACCGCGGGCACGTCTCGGGATAATCACGTGTCGTCGGCTCTCAAGCCAGGAATAGAAATATACCCCGCCAAAACTGGGTCGTGCTCTCCCCGCGGGCTAATGATGTAGCGGGTGACGGACGGACATACCGACATAATTCAACCGTTCAACACCGGTAAAGTAGCGTCTTCAGTGTTCATTCAACCTTCCGTTCGTTACTGAAGTCTTCCAAAAAAAATTCTTCACGCAAATTCGATCACAATCCACACAATGGCAGACACACGATTCAAGCTCAACACCGGCGCAGAGATTCCAGCTCTGGGTCTGGGTACCTGGCAATCGAGTCCCGGAGAGGTCAAGAAGGCTGTTTCCCATGCGTTGTCCGTAGGATACAGACACATTGACGCTGGTAATTATTAGTTCTTTCCAAGAAAGTGGTGCAGCAGCTAACAACAACAATTAACAGCGTACTGTTATGGAAACGAGGATGAAGTTGGCGAGGGTCTCAAGGAGGCATTTGCAAGTGGTATCAAGCGTGAGGATGTCTTCATTACCACGAAGCTCTGGTGTACCTACCACTCCCGCGTCGAGCAGAACCTGGATATCAGCTTGAAGAGCCTAGGATTGGACTATGTCGATTTGTACTTGATGCATTGGCCTGTCGCCATGAACCCCAACGGCAAGTAAATAAAACTACCCCTCCACCTCACTTTGGTAACCTCCATCCTAACTTTACTTGACCACCAGGAAACCACGAGAAATTCCCCAAACTCCCCGACGGCTCGCGCGATTTGGTCAGAGACTGGAAGCACACAGAGACGTGGAAGGCTATGGAGAAGTTGGTTGCGACTGGCAAGGTCAAGGCCATTGGCGTTTCAAACTACTCGGTCAAGTACCTCGAGGAGCTCCTCCCGGTAGCGAAGATCGTGCCTGCTGTCAACCAGATTGAGAACCACCCCTCACTCCCACAACAAGAGATCGTGGATTTCTGCAAAGCAAAGGGTATTTTAATTACTGCATACAGCCCGCTTGGAAGCTCTGGCAGTCCGATGATGAAGGAGAAGGCTATCCTTGAGGTTGCGGAGAAGAGAGGCATCACGCCTGGCAGCGTCCTCCTCAGCTACCACAGTAAGTTCCCCCTCGGACTGGGAAGTGAAAGAGACGCTAACGGATACAGTTGCGAGAGGGAGCGCCGTTCTCGCCAAGTCGGTCACTCCCGAGCGCATCACGTCGAACAGAGAGTTGGTTCTACTGGATGAATCCGACATGAAGATCCTCAATGATTATGCCGAAGGTTTGACCAAGTCTGGGAAGGTGGTGAGATATGTTTACCCTGAATTCGGTGTCGATTTTGGCTTCCCAGATAAGTCGTAAGAGGAGACCAGGTCTATTCACTACTAGAGGATAGACTAGACTAGAGGGAATCACAGGTTAGTGAATGAATGGAAGTCCAGAGAGGCTCTGAGACTTTGGCGGAAGCTGGCCAGATAGATCCCCCTAGGTAATTCTTTGTGGTGTTTGCTGCAACGACGACGCGAAAGAACCTAGAACTAGAATCATTATCTCAGGTTATGGACAAGCAGACACTTAGGACACTTGCAGTTGGGGACCGATAGGTAGATTCAATGATTCAATGAATTAATACCCCCCTAATAAAGCGGTCTAGTCCCTTTCTTCTGTTGCTGTACCGGCGGTATACCTAGAAGGGAGCAAGTGTTGAAATTCGCTCAACTCAGCAAACATTTATATTATCAGCACAGGCCCTTCTGTGAAACATCTCTTCAGTGGAGTCACGACTGGCTGCTCGTTGTGTTTTTTTTCGAGCGTTCGTGCCAAAAGCGATTGGCTTGCTGAAAGAATGTCGAGATGGGTCACGACTCAGTCAGTCACTCTCGACCTTGATATTGATTGCGGCTTTATCACGTCATGCCTGGATTCGATATATATATCAATATATATGAGAAAAATTACATATCAGTCATAGTGTGACCGTTACATTCGCTTATAGAAGTTTTCACAGGCTTAACAATCTTAAAACAAAGGTAGGAGAGGCACGCAATACGCGAATCTAACTTCTTGGCAATTAGCATAGATGCAACTTCAGCCCTCCCTTACCAGTCTCCAGATACATCGCTCTTACTTCGACAGTCTAATGCTCTCTCTACCTTGAGTTGATAAGCCGTCTTTCTAGTTCAAGCTCCGACTTCAATTTCAGCAGATCATGCTAAGATGCCTAAGAATGCCACGTCCAAGGTACACAGTCCAGCAGGATATCTGCCTGCCCAAAGCTTCCATCTTACTATCTCCACGTTCCTGACGACGAGAATTTTGGGTGCAAGACGGGCGATCGTCCTTCTTCTCCGCGATTTCATCCCGCTAGCTAAATGCCTACTCGTTTTCGTCCGGGATGAGAACGCCGCTGGGTTCTTGTGCTGCGACTGTAGTAGGCTGAACGGCTACGACGACGAACTGCTGCTGACCCAAGTATGGCCAAGAGGCACAGAGTAAGGATGAGACACAGTACTCGGCGGCAGGAGTAAGATCGCTCGCTGTATGCTCTGGCAATCAATCAACCCTACACATTCCAGGACTGTATGTGATAGTTATCCAATAGAAAACATAATTCTGAAAATCCATGCCACCAATCGGTGACATGACATGCGCAAGAATATATCGGGATCCGTCACATTCCCCATATTCTTAATCTGATACAAAACCACTCACTGGATGCCCAGAACGAGCTTGGTTCTAATCGTACCAATCTGCAGATAGAGTTCCTCCTTGCTGGTAAACCTGAGATTCGAAAGTTGATAAGATGTTTGATGTACTTGCAATAGATCAGTCGTTGTTTGATAATTTGTATCAGAGTATGCCGGATAGAATTGAAGCTTGTCTCGCGGCCGAAGGCTGGCATACTAAGTATTAAGGTACGTGCGCTTTCGAATAACTAGATCAAAAATTGAGAAGAATAAAGGGAGTCTAACAAATAGAATAACTTTTTTTTTTTGATTTAATTTGGATTTGTAATTATTGCGTAATTAAGAAATCATAGCTGAATGTCTAATGTTGATTTTGACGTTCTCGCTTAAGTGGCCAACAGCAGTTGCCTAGTACTGCAAAGCAAGAGCTCTTGGCATATCTCAATTCCCACCCAGAGAAGGTTCTGCTCACCGAAGGCCAACTCACCGGGAAGGACCAGCGCATGCCCATCTTCTTCAGCATCCGCGAGGCTTCGAACGACCCCAAGAAGTGCGAGCAGTACGGTGAGTCACACCTCCGCTCCGCTTCCCCTCGCCCATCTATCGACCTGCCTGCCCTTTCTTCCTACACGATCGAACGGGGTCTCATGAAAAAAACAAGCAAAAAGGCTGACTGACTGACTGAATGACTGACCTCTATCATCTCTTCTCTACACAGTATACTAGGCGAGCCTCTTCATCAACACCCAGGACTCCAAGATCGGCCCGACGCTCACGCCGGCCCAGTGGCTCTGGTTCCGGAAGTTCGCCTACGTGACCTACTTCCACAAAGGGCCCAGCGTGCTCGGCTGCCACAAGCTGCTGCCACAAGCTGCTGCCCCGGTCCTTCCAGCGTCACACAACCGGCGAGCGCGCGATGGGGGTGGCCAAGACGAAGCAGGCGAGCCCGACGGCGAGGACCAGGTTCATTGTTGATACCGCGGTGGCCATCACCATGTAAGTTTTTCTTTTGCTCTCCCTCTTGTTTCCACCTGCGAGCGATTTATTCTTTCCGGGTTAAGATAGAGAGGAGGAGCAAAGGGGGAGGGGGGGGAGGAGATGGCTGATCGATTTGGGGAGACGCTCGCAGCCACCTCCTCTTCGCAGGCCGTTTCTTCCCGGCGGACGACGACGAGCTCAAGCGAGAACATGGCGATGAGGGCTTGTTCGTCGACCGCAACGGCATCGACTTCACCTCTTTCGAGGCCCACGCCTACGAAACCAAATCAGACCAAACCCAAAAACTAACGCCCGCCCTCCCCCCCCCTCTTCTTCTTCTTCTTTTTTTTTTTTTTGCGGGTGGGATAATGCCGTCTCTGTCTTGCCTAATCGTAAATCAGCTCAGCGTGCATTCACTTACGAAGTATACCTTGCATAAAGGTAACTTCTCCCTCCTCCTCCTCCTCCTCCTCCTCCTCCTCCTCCTCCTCCTCCTCCTCCTCCTCCTCCTTCTCCTCCTCCCTCTCCTCAATCTCACCTCATCAAAATCCCCAAATCCCCAAATCCCCAAATCCCCAAATCCCACTTCCGATATTTCTCCTTCCACAATCTCAAACATCAAGTGCCCTTGCCCTGAAACGTCAAATTCCAGGATCCAGACTTTCCGTCACACCTTATTCGCTAGCTAGCTAGCAGCTAGCAGGAAACGACTCTTGAGTTAACGGGGTAGTAGGATATGATCAAAATTCAAAGATGAATAATCTCGACTTGATTGTCGGTTCTGACTGATGGTGGGACAATAGCGAGCGGCAGGTGGGTGGTCATAAGAATGCAGGTCCGAAATCACAAACCCAGCAGCCTACCGATTCTCGAATTTCCAGAGGAGGATCTTCTGTATGATCAATACATTATTATTGATATGTAATAGTCTGCCTTTGGGCTAGCAACTTCTACCACCATCTGGATTATGCATTAGCCACAATATCGATAACCTCACCTCCCTCCTCCAAAAGCCTGACATCCATCCACCCACCCTCTTCGACCGCCACGATACTCCCATCCACGCAACACCTCCTCCACGTTGAATCCTCGCCTTCCTCTTCAAAAGTCACCCGCATCCCAGCCACAGCCTCATATCCGACGTCCGCCCTCTTAACATGCTCACCCCCCTGATACGCAGCCCCCATAATTGCGCCCACTGTCTCCCCATCCAAAGCCCCGAAATGCACTACCCTTAATACGCGCTCGAAAGGCCTGCTCTTCGGCGATACCGTGAACGTCCTCTCGAGATGGCTGACCATCGCCGCTAATACGTATCCGTGTTCTTTCCTCTCCATGACTTCCTCCTCCCCCTTTTTGATAAGCGTGATGCGGGCTTTATACGCGTGAGGCGCCGACCCGTCTGGAGGGAACATCAAGTTCTGGGCCGCCATGCCAAACCGCTTGTCGCCGTATTTCCGGTACTCGAGCGTGTCGGAGTCGGCGACGAGAGTGGAATGGAGGCCGTGGCTTGCGACGACGGCGCCCAGGAGGGCGTTCTTGGGTAGAGGGCTGGTGGTCTGGCCCTCGTTCGTCAAGAGGCGGGCACCTGGGGAAAAAGAGGCGCGGAAGATGGGAAGGGGGCGCGGGGTCCCGCGGAGGAGAGTCTGGAGGGCTTGGGTGTAGATGGACGGGCGGGGGGAGGAGGCGTGCAGAGAGTGGAAGAGGGCGTTGCCTGTGCCAAGGGGCAACTGGACGACTGTCGGTTTGACATATTTACTGTTGCCCCGTCAGCCGGATGTACAAATCCAGGGGGGAAAAGTCCCAGGGACGTACCTCGATCTCTCACTCTCCCCTAAAGCATTAATCGTATCAACTATGCCTCCATCCCCACTCAGCATCACCACCGTCTGCTTCCGCCCCTCATTCGCAGCAACCATCAAATTGACCTTCGTCAGCTCCCTCACGCTCTCAGCGTTCCGCGTCTTCACAACACTATATGTACCATCCTCGAAGCCGAGCGATAGCAACAGCGGATGTAGTATCTCCTCCCAGAACGGGACAGCCAGACCTGTGCCAGAAAGTGTAGAGATCAGGACGTATACGTTCTGCGCATCCGTCATGTAGGCTGGCCACCCGGAAAACAGGAAGGCAGAGAGGAAGGCATCAGGCAGGATCAAGGCGTTGGTCGTGCGCAGCTTGAAGGGGTACTGCTTCTCTTCCCCTGCAGACTCGGGGAGAGCTTCAGACGGGGGAGGGGAGGGCTCAATGCTGAAGATGGTGTATTCGGCTGCTCTGCCCAAGGTGGGAATAACCGTTACAATATCCTCGCCCTTGATCTCCCCCTTCTCCCAGCTCAAGATCCCATTTTCGTAGTTGAAGTTCGCAGGCGCCTCATGGTCTGGGTCCGCGGTCTAGGTGGCAATAATCAGTATTTCGCTATTCCTCTTTCTTTCTGCGCGTCCAAGATACCCTGGGGCTTATCTGATAATTGGAGCTGTGGTACTTACAGAAGCATCATTCCTCATAATCTTCAGAGCGTGCCCGTCAGCAGACAGCATATCCATGATCGCCATCTCGTCGACGCGGGGATACTGGTGAGTGAGGAGCCGCCATGGTCAGCATGGGACGGTTGATGGTCATGTCAAGAAGGGTCGTACATCCGTAAGCCCACCCAGTAGAAGCGGGGACACGGAAAGCGTGATGCCATTTCGGTATGGGAGCACGATATTTGTGGATCTTATCTGTTTACGTTTATCATAAGCTTTTATTCTTATCACCACGCAATCTGTATACCGGTACCGGTACTAGTACCTAATCCCTTGGGCCGCCCTCCCTTCAACACCCCCTTGATCTCCCCTCGTCTTCAATTTTTCTTTCCATTACTTCTTTTTTTTTTTTCAAAAGAATGCATCCATTAAATACCTAGTCATCAAAAGGCCTGCTAACCGCCCGCCTTCTATCAATCCTTCCTTTATAAGCTATCTATTTACTATCACAATCTTTTCTTCCCCCACATATTCTCCATCGATGTATCTAATAAACTCAGATATATCCCTAACATTGCCGGATCAGAGCGTATGTGAAAAAATCATCCACGTCCATGAACCAAACATACAGCCAAGCCAACATCCTGTCTCTGTCCGCCTGCCCGATTTAGATGATCACCCAGCGAGAGGGTGAGATGTACGGTGCAGAAAACCCATCATGGTGCGGACACACGACCGGATCCAAAAACCATGTGTTCCGTGTCTATCCATCCATGCGGGATCCGCCGTAGCCACCGGTATGCATCATAACATAGGGAGTAACTTACAATCTGAGCCTGGTTCGCTCGCTCCTCTTCTAACTCTCATACTCCAATCTGCCGTCCCCAATGACCCCCCAGATCTCCTCGACTATGTCCCTCTGCCCGCTCGGCGCCCCTCGGATAGCGAGATATTTCCTCCCCTCGACCTCCACTTCCCAATCTCCCGGATTTCCACCAACCATGATACCCCCGGCCTCCACAAGTATACACCATCCAGCCGCCACATCCCAGGCCCAGCACCCCCCCTCCCAAAATACGTCCTGCTGTCCGCTAGCCACAGCTACCAGATTCAATGCTGCAGAGCCGATACAGCGGATGGAGTGAACCATGGCGCCACCCTCCTCCTTTGACGCCGTCAGCTTCGCAAATACCTTGCACTTCAGCGCAAAATTGTTGCCCGTCCGGTCACTGCCCCATTCTGCTCCAACCAAGCACGTACTTAGATCCTTCAACGGCTCAGGATCCTGCTTCAGCGGGAGCTTCTGCTTAGCCCCTCCATTCCGGACCAAGAACGCGCCTTGTCCTTTGATTGCTGTATATAGCTCGTCGAGATACGCATTGTAGACGACGCCAATTGTAGGGGTTTTATTGACGGTGAAGCCGAGCGATATGCAGAATGCGGGGAAGGCGTGGACAAAGTTCGTTGTGCCGTCAATAGGATCGACGATGAAGGTGGGCTCCGCGGTGAGCTTTTGACCCGGGTAGTATGTTTCCTCGCCGATAAATTGGAAGGAAGGGTAGGACGTGAGAAGGCGGGTCGACACCATCTTTTCGACGGCTTGATCCGTCTCAGTGACCAGGTCGGCGGCTTTGAGAGGTTAGCAGAGGTTTCTATTTCACCGCTTGGTCTAGGGTCATACAATTCTTCTTCGTGCCCGATGAGAGGTACGAGGGTGTCGCGCCCAGCATCATCCTTCCTGCTTCGTGGGCGACGCTGACCAGCAGGTCGTGGATTTCTTGGAGATTAAGATCTGCCATCTTGATAATATATAACGTGCGGGGGTTGTCGGAAGATAGAGGAATGACGCTGTAAAGGTTATGGATGTCGCTGAGGGACGAGGAGAGAGAAATGTAGATGGTGGGGTTGGCGGGGTTGACTGCTCGCCCTATCGTTGCTACCCTATCAGCACGTGCATGGATCTTTCGCTTAGTTGGTTCAGGGGTCTCGGCCTGTTTACTTTCTGCTGGAAGGACCTTAATGAATGTGTTTTAAAGTTTCCGAGTAAAGCGAGCACGCACACGCGTATGGATTACTCCTCCCCCCTTCCATATCTCTCCCCTCAACCTACAAGCAAACAACTCAAGAGTAGAGACATTTCTTCATAAAGGTACCTAGAGGGCCGTGATAGGGACACACATTTGCACACAGGCACAGAAGCTTCCTCCCCACCCACCTATCAATCACGCAGGCCCATCGCCAGCAGCAGCCAGGCCATACCCAGCGGGTCTCCCAGCCGTAACCTCGGGATGCAACTCATAAACGCCACTGAAGACCGGCCTACCGCCCGCAGCCGGCACGCGAACCTCCGTACTCACTAATTCAACCATCAAGCCAGGGACCTCCTCCCGCGGGAACTCTGTCCCGTCCGCGAGACTCACGCGCCAGTGCAGCGCCCGCGTCAAGTAGGGAATCACGTTTGCCTTGTCCATCGAAGGACAGTTGCCCTTACGGACTTCGGCGAGGAGCTGGGCTGTCAGGGCCACGGTGCCGGTGACGATGCAGCCGCGTTCGGCGTCCGTCTTGCACTTGCCGCAGCCGGTCTCGCTGGCGTCGTCGGGCGCGGTGCTCTTTCCGAAGACGGCAATGGTGCCGACGAGCGCATCTTGCGTGTTCCAGGTCCGCGTCGCGGGGAGGAATTCCCCGAGGAAGACGTGGATGCGGTACGACTGTCCGAGTATGTGCTTGGGGGTCTGGACGTTGACGATGTATTGCGTGTAGGACGCTGTTTGTGGAGTGGAAAGTGTGGCATCGGCTGTGGAAAGATTAGTGGTGTCTCGCTCGAGTTTGGTGGCTGAGAGCGCGAGAAGGCAGAGAGGGAGGGACGGCTTACGCTTGCCGATTTCAGAATCGAGGTCGAGGCCACGTGCAGTCTCTGTGTCTGGCTTCGGATTGTGATGGGTGACATCCTTGACCTTTGCTAAAATCTTTTGCAACGGATGAACACCGCCATCCTTTTCGGGACTTTTGGCAGACGACACGTCTGCAGCCGGCTTGTTCGCAGCATTCGCCGTGCTAGACTCCTGGTTTGCCGCGGTGATATCTGCAGCAGGAGCAGGTGCCGCCATCAAGTTCACAGCGCCACCAGCACGAGAGTTGATGAACTGAGCTGTCAAGTCTCCGTAAAGCTGCTGCACTGTGTCAAGTACACTGTCCCGATACTCCGATGCAGTAGCAAAATTCCAGCGTTGAGTCTCGGGATACACGTAGTTGAAGGTCTCGGTTTTGCGGGCTCCAAGAGACGTCCAGTATTTGGTGCCCGAAGCGTCGGCAAAGGGTGCGAGTGGTGTAGTTGCAGTTTCGATACTATTGGCTTTGATTACGAAGGTACCGTCGCCAGAGCGCTCATTCATGGTGTAGGAGTTGGGGTTTATGGCTTGCCAGATGGCAAAGAGGCGGTCGACGTTTCTATTGTGGCGAGTCAGCGAATTCCAGTCACGAGATCGCCAAATGGAACCAGTCACGTCTTCCTACTAGCGGAAAAGAGCAGACATGACTGTATATGGAAATATCCGATGAGGGTGGAGAAACAACTGACGTATGATGCAACCAGAACACCGGGTCAAACGACGAATAGTCAAGCCTAGAAGAGAGAAGTCAGCCGGTGTATTCGTCAAGAGCGACTGCATCCAACAGATTTACATAGACATATGTCCTCCGTTACCCCCGACGGCAACATGAACGGAGTTATGCACATCCTCCAAGCTGGCGCTCGTGTTCAATCCATCATCCCTCAGCTCATGATTACTAAACGCATCGAACGCAGTGTAATTCGGGTCGTTCAAGATCAAGTTAACATTCTGCTGCAGCCCAGCGAACTGGGAAGCCATAGCCTGGAAGACTTCCTGTTCATCCGAGGTGGCTGAGACGGAGCGAGCAGAGGTCGGGTAGCGGAGAGTGGAGGGCCATCTATGGTACTGAGTTCAGATTAGCCGAGGTCAGAGGGGTGGGGGACGGGGGACGGGTCGTACAGGCGTGCCCTGCAGAGGAACGAAATCGCCAGCAACGGGGTTGAGGGGGTGGAACTTGTACGAGTACAATGGATTCGCAACCTGCACCTGCTGCCCGTTGCTCGTAGGCGTAATGACAGTGGCAGTAGGCGAGGCGCCGACTGCGTTGGGGAAGTAATCCCCGTCTGCAGGCGCTGCAGCCCAGTCCCAGTATGGCATCCTGAATGTCGCTGCAGCGGCCTGATACTGGGCTTTCGTGGCCGCCGGAAACTTTGCAGCAATATCCTGGATGATCCCGTACAGGACTTGCTCGAACAGAGCGAGATAGGGGCGGTGCCATGGGCCGAAGAGGATGGATGTGTGAGTGCAGTAGCCCTGCCAGCCTCCGATATTGGAGCCTTTCACCCCGCCCCTGAGGATGGGCATTTTTGCGTGAGCATGTCTTCTTTCATATGTTTCGAGAGTATATCGAGAGATGTCTACGGGTAAAGGGGGGGGGGGGCAGAATTTGGTACTTACCAGGGTCTGTAAGGACGCCCATGGATACCCGCAATACCATACTACATCTCACATCAGTAAGATCGATTCCCTTGCGTTTGAACATACGCACGTAAGACAAGTCTTTCGTCTCATCCAAATTCTTGAAAGCCTCCAAGCCCAACAGATACAGGTTCCACTGCTTCGCATTCTTCTGGAGCTGGCGGATCTCAAGCCGGACAGGTACGGAGCCTACCATTAGTCAATTACATTCAATTACATCGTACTGCCAGGCTGGTCGTGGAGGAGGATGTGACTGCGACTTACCGTCGGCTGGAGAAGGCGATGGCTTTGGGGAGCCGATGACGGGGAAGTTGATGGCGGCCATGTTTGATGATGGCTTCGCTCGAGTGGAGAAGGGATGTTTGGTGTGGTGTGGTTTGGTTTGGAATGGAATGGAATAAGGCTGGGTGAGCAGTATCTGTGTGGTGAGTAATGAGAAGGAGAGTTGGACAACAAGCGCAGAAGGATCTATCTGGCTGGGAGGCTCAGGATTCAGAATTCAGGTGGAGGTGGAGATGAGACGAGATGAGGAAAAGAAAGGATGAGATCCGGGGGAGATGGCCAGATATTAGTACTGACTGGACCCCTCACCCATCACCCTACCGTACTTGCCTACCCCGGTGCCACCCCAGAGAGGAAGGGCCTCTCGGTAGAACTGGAACGATAACATAGCATGGTCGTATCGACCTGTGCGGGGTTGGATTGTAGCGGCCGTCCAAATAGCTGATAACTGGAAGACACATGCAAAGCGCTGCTTCCATGAACCACACTCGGGTGTACGTGGAACCAGCCGTAGATCATACGACGAAAATCTTCCTTGTATGGTGGGAGGTGAGAGGTGAGAAGACGAAAGAGCAGGATAGCAATCAATACACAACGAGGTGTATCATGTGCAAAACGTAAGACGAGGCGAATGAAAGTCACGACTCACAACACACAACACTTATCCAAAGGTTGTGCAACCCCACCCACCGCACGAAATGTCAGCGCCGGGTCAGCCCTAACGCAACGCCGTGTTTCAATCTGATCGTTGTTCAACGTCGAATGAGCAATCAACGCTCCTGGCGAGCGGATGAGGGGAACGACATCAACTCGTCCCACGGATGTCTTCCCTCGTATCGCCAACCTCTCTCAAACACCCCTTCAGGTATTTCCCAATCCTTTCCGTGTCCTGCAGGCTGGCGACGGTGCCAATGTATCCATCAGGTCGGAGCACCGCAATGGCGCCCTTCGCAGGACTTACGCCATATACTGCGTATGCGTCTTCTAGCTTGGTGCCATTGTAGAAGCTCATTTCAGCACGCTCTTTCACCATGGCTGGAACGTCTTTCCACATAAAAGAATCGGGTTCAAGCGGGTGCAGGACAACCAACTCTATAATTCCAGACGGAAATCTGCCCAGAAGCCGAGATATGTGCGCGAGGGAAAGGGCTGATGTACCGGAAGGATCAAGAAGATCCGTTGAAGTGAACTGGAGGATGCGGAATCGGCCAGTGGAAGGGAAGTCTACTTCACGTTAGCATGAAAGGAGTACTGCATTTCGATGGAAAATTTACCGTCTTGGAGATCCCTTCTGTAGCCATCCGCATGTCTCTTCGCTTTAACATTGAGTAATCGTCGGCCAGGTCTGAGAACTCCGCTTAAGTAGTCACTTCCCTCAACTATACCTTCGGAGGTCGCCTTGTCCACAATCAAGGTGTCAGGATACTCGATGCCACAACCACTTGTGAACCCATTTCCTGTGCTGAATACTTCCAGAAATTGGTCATGGGTGAGATTCCCCTCGCCTTCGCCGGTGCCGATCTTTCCCGAGAACATAGACGAGAACTCTTTGTCGAATGCAATCAGCTCCCTCGCAACGGTAAGGCGTTCTATCTCGAAGCTGTCGAGGACCGCATCTGACGAGCCCGTCCTCGGAGTAAATCCGTTCAGGGAATGTATTAATTTCCAGGAGAGGTTATACGAGTCCATCATGGAAACATTCATGCCCTGGCCAGCTTTTGGACTATGCGTGTGGCAAGCTAATGGCGGTCAGGAAGCAATACGCAACTCGGAAGGGGTGAGCTTACCGTCGCCTACAATGAAGACTCGGTTCACGCCTTTGGAATCCTGTTTGATGAAGTTCTCTGATACGCGCTGCCCAATCTGGTACGCTGCCCACCAATCTACCGCGTCTGCTCGTTTCGGTTTGATGTGATAGGGCTTGAAAACCTCTTGTGCTTGAGCGAGTATGCTTTCCATAGTGATTTTCTCTCGCCGGGCTTTTGCTTCGGCCTTGCTGTCTCCCTTTACTCCCTGCTCACTCGCGATATCGCCATCGGGAATCACATCCTCTTGCACATGAACGTACAGCCGCGTCAGATACTCTCCCGTCGCAATTCTCTCTCTCGGAATGACCATGACGCTGCCATTGTCCGAGTGGATAGCACTTCTTCGCCTGATGTCCGGAAAGTCGGTATCTGCAACGAAGTCCACAACCCCCCAGATGAAATCGGATGTCTCCCCCTCGAGTTTGAAGCCCATCGACCTTCGGACCAGCGAGTGTGCTCCGTCCGCTCCCACCAGGTGCTTCGTTCGCACCGTCCGCAGCCCCGAGGGGCCTTCCATTTCCACGACGACTGGAAACTCGGCGTCTCCAGCTTCATCGATTTCAACCTTGGTCAACCGTGTGGATCTTTGCACCCCACGATCAGAGTACCTGCGCAGGTCATCCTCAAGTATGCGCTCGATCCGCCCCTGGTGGATCGTGACCTCGTGCGGGAATCGCGCCGGCACAGCGACATCCGGTACGATGGACGTTCGATCGATTCCGCCTTGCTGATCCGGATTCCAGAATGCCACCTCCCACATCTGACAGCCCTCCGTGAGGATTTCGTCTGCCAGCCCCAGGCTCTTCAGCACTTCGAGGGTGCGCGGTTGTAGGCCATCTGCCTGGCCGGATTTCAAGGCGGTGGGTTTCGCGTCGATACAGAGGAGGGAGGTGTCGTTGAGGCCGTATCGTGCGAGGAGGACTTGCAGGAAGAGACCAGCTGGTCCTGCCTGTAGACGGGGGAGGTGAGATATTGGCCTCGGGGCTCAAGTTGTGGTTGACTTACGCCTGCGATCAATACCTCGTACTTCTCTTCATTCCCTGAAGGCTCGAACTTTGGAGTCAGGCGTGGAAGGGGAGATGCAAAGGAGGGAAGGATACGTAGATCCCGCGAAGATGCAGAGGATTCTGTGAATACCGGCATCTTGCAAGATTGAAGAGGGACGAGGGACGAAAGATATTGAGGAAGAGAGAGGAAGAGAGAATGTAGATGAGAGAGGGGAATCACAGAAATAAAACCTGACCTTACCTGTCCTGCTTACTTACCTACCTAGGTATCTTATAGATGCACTCAAGTGCCGACTCCACATGAGGCTGCCGTGAACTCTTACCCCACCGACAAGAAGTTGCGATTTGCTTAGGTACTTACGGAGTACGGAGTACCTAGGTACCCCACGCTAGGCAGAGCCCGCTGTCGGCTGTCAGCGCGAGATACTCTCTCACCAGGGCAATCCAAATACAGTCCAGGGTATATGGTCAATAAATACATCGACAGAAAGGTTCATCCTCGAGACTGATAAGATGCGGACGATGTATATTACCGTATTTGCTGGTGATTGGGTGGGGTCGAACAAGAAGGTTTGGCGTCTTGAGCCTTGTGGCCTGTTGATATAGGTAGCGGTAGTTGATATAGGTGGCAGGTAGGTAGATACCGGTATGATATGAGATCCTGGTCTATCCATGCCAGTATTTCTTGTCATCTATCCTAACCAACATCAACCACCAAGCACCTAAGCGAATATAGCGAGTACAAGCGAGGCCGTCGATATGTAGGTGAGTACGGAGTAGAGCTACGGTATTTGCCAAATGTCTGTTATGCGATATGATAGCGGTAGCATGTGAAGGCGTATTGTTGATCCGATCCGAGCTATCGGTTAATGACTTTTTCTCCAGTTGCACTTACGAAGCTTCCTGATGATACCTATTTATATCTACCCACCAAACCGTCGTTACTCGGCACTTGACTTTCATTCCAATTTCGTTCCCTTTGGTACCGTAGTTCCTTTTCATTCGATTTGCAATGTTCGCGGCGTCATCAGCACCACCCAACTTGTCCATCTCGCTCTGGGCATGATCCGTCTGCGGTTTGACATCGGTACCACCAGCCAGCCAGCCAGCCAGCCAGCCAGCCACTGCCGGGGCTGCTGAGCTACCGGTAGTGGCAATCGGAGATCGGCGGGGAAATATCAAGGCTGCAGCGACATCTTCGCCCCAGAGCTTCGGGAAAAAGTTTATACAGTAGGACAGTCAGCCCCGACTACTGGTTAAAGTATCTCAACCCGAGGTCTTGCACTCCGGGGCCCAAGAATTAAATATATCCATACACACTTACATATATAGACACGTATACCTTCTGCTACCGTCCAACGTCGCAATGCCATCCTCGGCTTCGAGCAATGCGGATGGCCAGACCAAGGGTGTCCAATGCTCCATGTGCGGAAAAAGGTTTTCCAGGACCGATCACCTGAAAAGACATCAATTGAGACGTGAGACATATCCTGATACGAGTCCATCCATCACCATCCTCGTCCCATCCGATTGCTAAGAAATAGCCATCAGATTCGGGCATCAAGCCGTACTCCTGCATATTCTGCAGCGACGCCTTTACGCGAAGGTCAGAGAGAGTCGAGACCGTCAGAGGGCTTATCCTTTCCCTTCAGGAATAGTTCCGGCTGACATTCATATATTTACATGTAAACAGCGATAACCTTAGAGAGCACTACCCAGGTTGTCCTCAGCGCCAGAACCGACAGATTCCGGAGGCAGCACGAGGTGGCAGAAGATCACACGCTTGTGATTCGGCAAGCTATAGATTCTTAGCCTATAATTCCTACCTTTTGATTCCTACTCGATACTCGTTACACTCTGTACTAGCTGTCGGCGAAAGCTAACCCTTAACGCAGTGCACGTCTATGAAGCTTGGCTGTGATGGTGGCAATCCGTGCAAAACATGTCGGCATAAGCGGATCGAGTGCAGATTCTCGAGATTAATGTCCAAAGGAGGGGCTGGTCTTAACGAGAGTATGTTTTGTTGATTCAAGATCTGATTATCCATGAGTATTGTTGATTGAGCCTCGTATAGTTTCCAAAGGTACTGAAAACGGCCAGTGCGATCGAGGCTCTATCAACTTCCTCCTCAACACCGGCACGGCAAGTTTCATCGATTGCTTCAGGCTTCCGTCTTCTCATGAACGGCGCAATATATGGAATTTCCGTACCGCCAAGGAAGCCACGACATCGATCGACTCTGTCAACTTCTTTGGAAACAACAGCAGTGAAGGGAATGTTTCTTCGACGCCTTTCGATGATGAGTCCATTGACAGGTCCCTACTCGATGAAGCCAATCTTCTCACCTTCCTCGGCGGTTCGTTTGGCGTCGTTCCAATGTTCGGATCTGAGGCCCCAATTACCGGCTTTTCTTTAATAGGAGACTTCGAGGCTCCAACCCCACAATCGGCCATGCTTGTACAGGAAATCCTAGAAAGTTCCATGACTCTGCAGATGACGCCACCGGAGCAAGAGCACGTCTTGCAGAACCTGAGGTTTCTTTTCACTCCTTCGAGGATCGAAAAGTTCGTTGGTCTGTACTTTGAGTTCTGGCATCCACATTGTTCTATCATTTACAAACCGGCGTTCAGCATTCACACAACTCCCTTGCCTTTGCTTGCGGCCATGTCTGTTATGGGCGCAATGTACACACCCATAGATACGGAAATTACCACAGCAAGGCTGGTCCTCGACCTAGTGGAACTGTACATCTTCTCGCTCAATGATCTGTCCGATGTGTACGAGATCAGGCACATGTTGAGAGTTGCGTCGGTCTTGGCACCCGAGAACACCCAGTTGAGCGTGCTCGCATTCGACAATTTCCAGGCTGCGTACATACTGGTTTGCGTGCAGTTTTGGGCTGGTAATATGGTTTCGAGGAAGCGTGCCGTAGATACCAGATTCAACTCGCTTGTCAAGGTAATCACTCATCTGTTGCCACTTGCATGTCGCTATTACTGACAGCTTTCAGGTTGCACGGAGGCTCGGCCTGATGAAAGCCCGGCACGAAGTGGACGATGGCCAGGATGAGCAAATGTGGATTTTGAGAGAGACCAGGATTCGGTCAGCTCCCAGCAATTCATCCTCATCTCGAGCTTCACGCTGATACCATCTACAGCATGATCAACACAATGACGCTATTTGACTGCGCCTTTTGCTTCTTCGTCAACTTCCCTTGCCGAATTTCCGTGTCGGAGATGGGATTTGACCTACCATGCGAAGAGAGCTTCTTTGCATCTCATCACCCGTTCTCAGAACCCGGCTTCACGTTCAGTAGGAATATCACCACCGTCGATGCGTTCCAGAGCCTCTTCAAGCCATCTCAAATAAGCCAAGGCCCCAGTAGAAATCCGCACAATCTGAATCCCGCCGACATGTTCATGCTCATTCACAGTAAGTGTCCTGTTGGCGCCTCTTGGGTTCTTCCGCTCACTGCTGCAGTGCTCTACGTATCAGCGCACACCCAAATCATCCATTTCCCAACATCGATATCCCGCTCAGAGGGCGATCCGGATACCTCAACACCGGCTGGACCTCTAGCTCAAGCCTCAGAATCCGGCATCAGCGCCATCAAAACAGCATTATCAAACTGGCGATTACTCTGGGTCGCAATTCGCGCCAGCATCCCCAACGATGCCTGGGCTACTCTAGGATTCTTCAGGAACGGGTACAATTACTGGCTTGTCACCCAGCTCATCATATCACACAAGGGGAGCGCTGACATACTGATGAAGATGGAGGTTGGGTGTGAGGATACACTGAAGCAGTTGAGGTTGCTTCTAAAAGATGGAAGTGCGGAAACGTAGGCGGTATATCCGTACCGAACTCGACCACGCGGCTCTTCATTCAAGGGCGGTATGGGCTCCGATGATACAGCAGAGGACTTCGCTCAGGAGGAAGATATGGCCGTCATTGGAGTTTGGGAAGACATTTTTTCTTCGACTCTCGAGGACAGCTACTACAGCAAGAGCTCGAGGCAAAAATATCATCTAGATATTCGCGTCGTGATATCCTGGGATCACAAAACGATATAATACCATTCTGAGGTGGTACTATGAAACTCGTGCGCTTCTGTCAGTCACAATGGAGATCCGGCGAGCCTTCTTCTATCCCTTATCCGCGGTGGAACGACTGCAAGATACCATACTTGATCTACCTACATTTCCATTTCTAGATTAAACAATCGCTAGAGCAGGGCATCGGCAGGGTTTCCTCTCCCCAGCCAAATTTTTTTTTAAAAAAAATCAGAATCAATTGAGGAAATTGAAGCGGTACTACTAAGTATTTTCAGACCAATCCAAAGATCTATTTCAAAGGTTGCAAACGTAATCATCAAATGGCAGCAGCAGCAGTCAAAAAAAAAAACAAAAAAAAAAAAACCAAGAACTCTCTTGCCGAAGTTGGATAACATTTCCTCCTTGCCGCCGCCACCGCCACCGTCACGGGCTCCCGTACGGAATGTCCAAGTTAAATTAAGCTCAGTGAAGGTCAGTTAAGGTCAGTTAAGGTCAGTTAAGTTCAGTTCAGTCAAGTTAAATTAAGTTAAATTAAGTTCAGTTAAGTTCACTTAAGTTCGGCTTCTCCAGCTGTGGGTTCTGATCCCTGGATTCTATGTATCTACTTTTCTAGGTAAATATTTAGGTACCGGTATCTACCGCCCTTCCTGCTCCTCCTCCGCCTACTCCTCCTTCCTGTCCTCCTCCGACCCGGTGAATCTCCAAAGTCCAAAGTCCAAACCCCAATCGGCTACCTACTTACTACTAACCTGGTAAGTGGGAATAGGGTGGAAATTTTGCCAAGAAGAAAAAAAAAGAAAAAAAAAAGATCTGTTCGAATATCCTGCAACAGCAGCTTCTCGTTGACACGGTGGTGTTTTTGCTATGTATGTCGTGTGATGTGAGGGTTTGAGTGAGTGAGTGCGTTGAGGTCAGGTGAAGTGAGGTGAGGGAAGGTTGCTGCTGGTTTTCCTTTTAAAGGCGTTGCTTGCTTGCTTTTCTGGTTGGTTGGTTGGTTGGTTGGATGGATGGATGGATATCGGGATCTCGTCTGTGTTGTTTGTTTGTTTGTTTGGATTGCAGGAAAGGAATATCTGTGGTTGAGGTTGATTGGTTGACGCTTATAGCGTGTAGTACAAGTGAGTAAGTGAGTGGCTTGCTGGCTGGTGGGTGGACAGAGATTGTTGGATTAGATATGCCGCCTAGGTGAGGTGAGGTGAGGTGAGTGTGATTCACAGCTTTAGTTGCATTCATAAGATGACTGACTGGTAATATTTAGAGAAGAGTGAGTGAGTGAGTGAGTGAGTGAGTGAGTGAGTGAGTGAGTGAGTGAGTGATCGAGCGGTAGGCTGCATGGATGCTTGCTATTCAAAGGCTTACTTAGCTGCGTTGAACGTCCGATATGATACATATCTATAGTCATCTATCAGCTATCAAAGAGCTACGTATAAGATTATATAAATATGTGATTGAGTTGACTCTTTGGTATATATACATAGGACCACAAGCTCGCAAGTAATATTCAATCTACTAGGTCAATAATTCACAAGGCTATAAATCTCAATCAGTGCGATAGTCACCCGCAACCCACTCAAAAGTGCATCTCTCTCCTATTGCATCGATAGAAAAGTGAGATTGGCTACGATTGCAGAACCTTCCTTAATCAATCAAAAGCATGCAAACGCTCCCTCGCATCCGCCAACCTTTCGACGCCCAGTAGCTCCCAGTCTTCAGGTTTGAAAAAATTGAGCATATACACTGATTTTCTGGCCCATCGTGATCTGATGGGCCTCGGCTTGGGTGATCGCTGGAACGAAGGGGATTATTATACGGAATTGCCAGCTAGCCGAAGCGAAAAGTCAACAAAACACTCCGCCCAAAATGCACATACATCATCATCACGATGCTTTGCACCAAAACACTTTTTTTTGAAGCCCTGGATTTCAACGGGCTAGATAGCGGCAGGAAATAGAAGATGGTTGATTCACTCGACGAAGGATATCTATCCATTATTCATCTGGTGGGAGTCGAATGCTAGGCAGATTAGATAGATGCACCTTGGTTGGTATTCCGGTCAACCCCCTTCGATATTGAACCCGAACGGTAAAATTGCTGGTGGAGCTTCAATTATGCGTTTTAGTAGTGCGAAAGGGGGTCTGGGTTTGTGCTTTTTTGGCGTGAGAATGTGTGGTGGGCTTTAGGACTGGGCGTGGGTGAACGTGGGGAATGAATTGAGATAACTGCTCGATTGGAAAGGAACCTGATCCGCGCTACTCACCACCAATTTATGTTTTGTGCCACGGTGAAGCACCAAAACGCTCCACGAGGCTGCGTCTCAGTTCGACGTTTCTATGTTGCTGTAGTTCCAGTGGGATTTTTAGTTTGGTGTGATTAAGGACACGCGACCATAAAATGCAATGAATGGAATTGTTTATTTCGCTCTTATGTAGGTATGCTGAGAAGGCCCTTACCCTTGCCCCTTGCCCTTTCCATGACTCTCAGACTTTTGGTGGTACGCCTTTGCTCTCTCCTTAAGAGATCTCGGCCGTTTATGAGGTTGCTTCGGCAATTTTAAGAACGTCCTTCTCGAAATCCAATTTCTGCCACTTTCCAAGCTTCACTCCTGCGCTGTCGACATCCTGTGGAATGCGGATTGAACCGGCAATCATATAATGTGCCCCTATCGCGCTGAGCTCCATTTTGACATCTGTGACCACCTCTCCCTGGAAATAGTTCGAGGACTGACGCACAACTTCGCCTTCTTCCAGACTGTCAGAATCGAGACCTTCTTTCGCAGCTGGGGCCTGCACATCCCGAATCTCCAACTCCTTCAACCAAGGAGCTAGCAGCGCATCTCCAGTCATCTTGACGTACGCCTCCCTCAAACACCAAACCGCGTAGAACCTCCGTAGCTCCTTGTCAACCGCAGTTCCTAAAGCAGAAGGTTGACCATCTACTGAGACCGTTTTCATGAATCTCACTTCCGAGTCCGCTAACACATCGGCATGCATATCGACCCAGTCCTCGAATCCATGTTTGCTGATATGGGTGGTATCTTGCTGTAGCCGCTCATTGGCACAAACGATATCCGTCCCAACCTGGGCACCCTGGAGACCGATAACGGCAATCAGACTGACGAGACCGGCCTGGTGGGACACATTGAAATCGAGGACCACGTGACTGCCACAATCCTCTGGTATGAAGCAGGGCTTCCCCTTTGAATCTCGAGAGACGATGCTTCGAGGCCACGGGATATCGAGCGTGGTGATAATGAGCCGCTTCAAGAGATGCGAGACCAGGCTCATCTTGGCGTCTTTGAGGTGATAGTATTTCAAGACAGAGGCTTGCTCTGATTCAGACAGGAGCGAAAGGGCTCTTGACGCCTGTGTGGTAATGATAAGTCATGACTTAGAAGCGTAGATGACGCCGGCGACCTACCACGGTCTTGAGCTGCTGGACTTCATCCCTCGGTTTCGCTTGTTGGACGGGCCACAGCGGTCTTGTGTCGACGAACCATTGAACGATCTTTGGATTGGACTCCGACAGAGCCTTCTGGGAGGGTGTCATTATGAGGGGAAGACGGAGTCCGTCCGAACTTTATGCATATTATCGAGGGAAATGTAAGTTGGGAGAAGGCTGCGCTCGGATTGCTGACGATAATGCGCCGAAGTTTCAGAGCTGCCCGGCTTTGGGAATCACGTGCCCTTTGGCTCGCTTATGGAGGTGGAGGATGGGCGAAGTACCTATCTCGAGGGGCTGCTTCAAATATTTCTTGAGATTCGTTCCGACGTTCATTTTCTAGTAACAGAAACCTGTGATCCCGAGGGCTCTTTTCTACCTATTGGTGCCCCCTGTCAACCCAGCCGAACAGTCCACTTTAACAATATCGGCTTTGCAGATATTTTTTAATTAATCTTAGTGTCCTGCACCGCTTCCGATCACATTCAGACAGGAATCAATGGTCGGGTGGTGTAGTTGGTTATCACATCTCGTTAACAGTTTACTGTGACACAATACCGAGAAGGTCCTGGGATCGAGCCCCAGCCTGATCAGTTCTTGCCTCTTTTTATGGCTTAGTGTTTTTTAAAATTTCTTCTTTTCATCTCTTGATATTTAAATTTTTTGATTATTAAAAATTTATGGGGGTATTTTTTTCCTTACAAATCTTGATGGTGAAGTTGAGGCGGCCTGCATCCCAGCAAGCTATTACAGAGCCTGAACTTGACAGGTACCAAAATCAAGTACATTATTACCACACCACCTGCAGCGATTTTTGGTTTATGTAGACTATGAAGCTAGCGGTAAAGTGATATACAGCCGTCCTGACTTGACTTGGAGAATCTCGAAGGAAGAGTATACCTGCATCGGAAAGGTCGATCGAAAACACACTCCTGTATCTGAGAAGCATTTGCAACCTAACGAGCAAGTGACAGGATTGTTTTCTTTAGAGCTTATTCATCCTACAGCTGGAGGTGTTAAATAAACAGATATGGTCATATGATTTCGTCTTTAATATATCGGCAGCCTCTACACTACGTGGAGCCTCGCCAGCCCTCAATCTTCCAAGCACTTCGAGATTTTTGCTGGTCTGAACCAGCCTGTCCTAAGCCTCGTAAGCTTCAAGGGTGTATCTCGAGAGGGCTTTTCCGTTACTATTTCGACGCGGATTTTGACGAAATCTTTACGCCAAGGTTGATGAGCAGCTTCTCCATTCGCGCTTCTCGATTGGCAACACCTCGTGCTTGCGAAATCTCAGCTATAGTTCCAAGCTCGTTCGCGAGCATTAGAAGCAGTTTCGCTCTATCTTTAGTCCAGACAACTATGCTGCACATAATCAGTTAAACTCGTATGGACCACCGCTTGATCATTTGAGTTCTATCGCCGACTCCCTGAAATCTTTCTTAGCTACTCCATGATCTACTTCAGCACATCGTCTCGGAGCGTCTCTAGGTTGCCCGTGGCGTCTAGATGATGCTGTTTGTTGGTAAGTCACAGGGGGGGGGGTGAGTGATTAATCAGTCGTGTTGTGGTTGTATTTGTTGATGATTCTTCTACTCTGTACAAAGTGGGCTGCCCCTTAAGGGGGCAAGAGCCACGGCAGCACGTGCCTCCTTACGTGCCATACCCCTTACGTGTCCGGTGCACTATACCGTGCTAGTAGTCCGACACTAGCAACTCTTTATTTTTGGCTAAAGTAGCTTTATTTTATATTCCTTACTTTTTACGTTCTACTTATCCTTTAACCTTGACCTCTAGCGTATTATAATCGATAAAGCTTTCGAAAGCTTTATTTAAGGTAGCTTTTGTTATGTGATCTGCTAGGTTAGATTTCCCGTTAATCTAGCGTATTTCGGCGATCTCTTTTCTTTCGTAAGATTAACGCAATGCTATTATATCGATCATCTGTGACAGCCTGCCTTGTTACCTGCAGTC